CCAAGAACAAATCAAAGATATCAAACACATCACTAAATCTTAGATGATGCTCTAGAGATATAGTTAGGAATGAGAATACCCTAAAATACACTAAGCTTCCCCTTGAAGATGGGACAAATCTGTTTATTCCTCCCTTTGCTATTTTTGGAGCATCATCTTTTCACTCGGAAGAAAGCAGACTTTTGTCCTTACTTGTTGAGATCCTTCAGGAATTACAGGAAATGCTTCCCACATTAGTTAGATGTGCTTTTCTTGAGATCAGCCTGCAAAGTGGAAAATCTGCCTGGCTATATGTTAAGGACATTTTGAACCCTGGTTCCTTCCCCTTGCTCCAGTACCTAGGTCAGAACAGATTAAATGTTTGGAACTCCATAGCTAAATTCTTGTCTTCTACACTGTGTAACATTTCCTTCAGGTCTGAATAGCTTTCAAACTCCATTCCTGGTAAAGGAGAGATCCAGAAAGTGTTATCTAGGTTGGTAACACAAAATAGCATGAGATAATACTCTGTGGACAGTGCACCTGCAAGGTGTATGAACCAAATGCACATGGGAGAGATGTAGGTGAAGCAGAGCTGAAACCAGACTCAGTGGAAGGAATTAGATTTATATGCCCAGACAAAGCGCTCTGCACTTCAATGAAAGCTTCTCCCACAGTGTCTGCTCTGCCTCTGAAGGCATCTCAGACACTGTCTGAAACCTGCTAGAGAACTGGCTCTCAAACACAGCCTTAGCTCAAACTGATTCAGGTCTTTGCTACCATGATCTGTTCGTGTATATCAAACTGTACACCCCTGTGAACAGAGGACAAATACCTAAGCATTCTTATAGTAATAATTAATTGCTAAATTGAAGTAGAGGTATTTTTTTCTCTGAAGTCTGTGTTGCTTTCTAGGATTACTGAAACTAAATTTCCCTTGACACCACTCAAAAGATACCCCAACACCACAACCCCATGTAAGAGAAGCAGAGGATTTAAGATTATAGGATTAGGATGTTTTTACTGTTCTAATTCGTTCTTCATCAGTAACATGTATATATGGAGATTCACCACAAACTATTCGCTGTCCTAGTTAAAAACAGGGGTTTCACTCCTTTTTCACAGCAGGGAGGTGTTCACACTGTAGGTGATACTAACAGGCTCTCTTGATAGGGAAACCAAGAACAGGATAAGCAAAAGGTCTGAGACACTGACATGTATAGTTTTCTTTTAGTCTCTTTGGATTAGAAGTAAAGTTAAACAAAACAGAAAAACACTAAACCGGACAGCAGCTGTATCACATACAGAAAGGGTACTCTTCTGTATGGAAGTTCTGAGCATGCAAGGTTTCCTTCTTCTTCATCTTCAACAGACATCCCACAAAAAATGTTGAGATTTATAAGAGAAATGGACATTTTAGGAAAAACGCCCAGATGCTTATAATAAACCAGTGTTATCTGTAGTATTTTTTAAATGTTCAATCATGCAATGTCTTATAGTAGGCAAAAGTCCCAAACATGGTTATTGCATCCTTTTCTTAGCCAATAAATATATATTGCATATGATATATAATTTATTATATATAAATAATATATCTAGAAAAAAATCTGCCAAATTCTCAAATTCAAAAACAATATTCAAAGAAAATGTAACTTTAGAAGCTTAAGAGGACTAAGAAATACTCTGAAGTATGACACAATTTGCAGTGTGGCAGTTGATTCCAAGGATGTCTACTTAAAAGCAATATAAAGTTTTGGTCAGTATTTTTTTTTCTTCCAGTAGCTGGGAAACAAAGCACAAAACAAATGACAAGTAAACATTCAGCCACAGGAAGCCATTAACAACAGTGGGCACCAATTAGGGCCCAGCAGGTATCCTTTACACCGCCTGGTGCTCTAGCTCCTCCTCAAATACTTTGGCATGACACTCACAAACTCAGGCTTAGGAAACAACAGGCTGTTTCATTTACTCTGCAATTTGTAGCCACATATTCCTGCTGATAGGCCCATAAACCTGTTTGTAGTCTTCTTCTGTTTCCCTTCAAGTTTGTGTCATTAGAAACTACAATTACTGTCTGTCCAAAGAGAATACTCTTCAGGAAAGAAAATAAAATTGAGATACTGTGATCCTTTTCCTCTTTGTCTCTCTCTCACTCCTTTTCAACTTCACTCTTGGAGGAGAATGCATAACACAATGGCTGATGTCAGGCAAATGGGCTCACTGAGAAAAATATGTGTGAATCCTCAGATTTTGCAACAAGGACATTATTTTTTCAAATCACAAATTTTCCAGTTGAATAGAGTGAAAAGCACATTGTTCTCAAAAGTAAGACAAAGTTTAAGAACTAAAAAAGAGTAAAAAATTTATTCTACTTCAGCCAAAACCATTGTACAAAATACATACAGTTTGAAATCTTTATATCAACTGTAAAATATTTTGCATCTCCTATCAAAAAAACCTCAATAAATTACCCAAGCCTTTTAAAGTCACTCACAGATTGCACCTTACTTCTTCCCTTAGCAAGCACAGTCTTATTGAAATGTGACACAAAATAAAATTCTCACCCTTACATTGAGATTGTAAACTAGAAAATAACAAAGCGGGTTACAATCTGCCAAACCAAGATTTTACCAGCTTGTCACTGTTTTTCTGAAATGAAAAAGTACTTTTGTGGCATTATAGTACTGCAAAAAGCAGAGGAAAGTCAGAGTCCAGCCCAGAGAACAGAGAGATCTTAGTGTCATGATGTAAAACAATATGGGTAAAACAACCCATTCAAATCCACTAGATCAGCCTTTGTCTTACAACCATCCACAGCCAGGGTGCTCTCCTGTGCCATATCTGTTTCTATCATCACTACCAAATGCAAGTTAACTAAAACTTCAGCAGTTGAAGTTTGGGAGTTTCTTGATGCTTTTGGCGTCACAAGACAATGAGGCAAGCAGATCAAAATTGTGCTAATTCCAAGCTCTCCATGTTTCTCTTTAATTTTCCTTCACTTTTAATAATTTTTCCACTGTTTTTTTTTTGTCGTTTCAAAAAACCAAATCAAAGCAAACATCAGCAAATGAGTGATTTACTTTCCACTTGCACTAAATGTTAAATCCCCACTGTCTTTTTGCAAAGTTGTGCTCAGTGACCTAGCTCTTTGCTCCCTCCACTGCCTCTGCTGACAGATCTCACTGAAGCTCCCGACTCCTGCTCCTGCAGCAGCACGACAGAGCTGTGCAGCCTCTGCACGCAACAGCCCCACAACCAGCACTGAAAATCATCTCTGACAGAGGGATAAACTCTACAACAGAATGCCCAGAACACCTATCCAATGAGTTTTGAGGCAAAACCAGATATACACCTTGAGCCTTGTGTCATGTGTCTCGGTACTGCCATACAGATATGTGGTATAGAAGTGTCCTTATCATGCCCATAGATTGGCAGCATAGAATCCAGAAAGATCACTGGCAAACCAGCCACAGTCCTTGTGTGTGCCCAGAGCTCACCTGTCTGGTGCCCATGTCAAGGGAAATGTCTGGGAACCACTGAGGACTGCAGCAGCCCTGACTCCTCACTGCTGCTGCTCGGCACTTCAAGGAGCCTATGTGGCCACCAAGGTAGAGAAATTCAGTACCTGTCTGGTTCCTCTTGGCTCAGAAGGCAACCAAGTGCTGAAGTTCCACACCACTGTTTCCTGGCATGCTGGGACAGGAGCACTGTGTGACAGAAGTGAATGAAACAATCCAGGCACTGATACTCCCCAGCAATACAGAAAACAACACGTGAGGAACGTGAGTACACACCTGAGTACAGGAAGGCAAACCAGCCTGCCCATTTCCACAGATCTAGACTTATCAAAGAACTGGACTGAGTGGGCTCTGCTTGTGTGCTGCTCCACGTGAACTCAATTCTTCCTCCGCAGCTAAAAGACTACGACTGTTGTGGACATTTACAGAACTTTCAGAATGAGGTTTATTTGTTCCATTTGAGGTTAGTCCACACTGGCCTTTCCCAGTACCGCACTGACTGGGGAGTTTCACCCATTACAATGAGAGCTTCCCTGTTCCTCTCTGGGAAGGAAGCAGTTGTGCCTGTGTGACTTACCTGCATGCACACATTTCAGTTTTGTCTCGATACTTCTCAGAAAGAAATTTGGGACAGAAAATAACACAACTAAGTACTGATCATCTAAGTGCACACAAATCCATACACAAAATGCCAACTAATAACAAAAGTGTTATTTTGTATATAAATTATCAACCCTTTCAGCACTAAGAATATATCTTTGAAAGCTACATCTTATACTCTAAGGCCAAAAGAGGCAGTGCCCTTGCTCTACAGCCACCTAGAATTCAGGTGGATTGTCCAAACCAGTCATCTAGGCTCCTTCTGTAGTCAAGCAAGAGAGATAAGTGTCTCCAGATTGCCATTTATCCCATTCTAAGATAGGTGAGTAAAACAGGTGAGATGAATCCCTAGCATGGTATCTGCTGGGGGAGGGTGAGGAATTACTTCCTAGATTACTCCCTTAGGAGAGATACTTAACTTTTAGCAGCCAATGTTGAGAGGAATTCCATGCTACAAGATTAGGGAGGATTATAAAGATTCACACTCTTGTGAAAATTCCCATTATATTGGGCTTACAAAGAAAGTAAAAATTTAAATTTCCCATGCAAACAAAACCATCTTACAGTCTCATTCAAACTGTAGATCACTATGTCTGTTATAGTCAGAGATCTGCGGAAGTTTCATGTGTTTTCATAAAGAAATAATGCTGTTCTATTTTTCCAAGAAAATGAAGTTCACATTTTGAATGTTAAGAAATTGTCTGTTGCAAACCTGTTAGCCATTTAAATATGACAGAGATACACAAAAAACCTTGAAACATTTAGTGGGAGCACATTACCAAGTAAAGGACAAATCTGTCAGTGCTGCCAAAGAGGAAAGGTGGGAACATGTCATCACTCCCGAGATCAGAAATGAAACTTAACCCAGAGAAGGAACTTGTTTAGCTCACTGCTTCCATTCACCTGACACTGCAGTGGCAGTCAGAGACAAGAGTTTTTCCATATCTGCTGTTCTTCAGGAGTTCCAGGTTCTGTTCAGGTTCTTAAAGAAATTGAAAAATTCAGGCTTGTACTAGTAATATATATCATCTTCGGTCAGTTCCTCCCTGCATGAAAAAAACAATGTGCTACTTCACACGTCATGAATAAATTAAACTTAGAAATAGTTTGAGAAAGGGGCAGACATTGCATTTACTATTTTTCTCTGTTTATTCTCTACTATCCTTTAGGATTTTCCCTTCTCATGTCAATTATTGGCAAAATGGGGAGAAAGCATAAAGACAGGATTAAATGACGTTATGATTAAAAGTGGCTCTAAATTCTAGAAGTCAGAACCCCACGCCAGAAAGCAAGTTAAACATAGATATGAGATCTGCCTTTCTCTGCATTTCTGTGGCCAGCATCTTGAAAAGATTCACAGATATCTACCAGCTCTATATTATATTCAAGTGCTGAAAAGCAGCTGCCACAGTCACAACTGAAACACCACCCTATACAGAGTGATTCACATCTTGTGTTCTTTCAATGCTGTCAACCCTGTCATGCTAACAATCCCATGTGCTGCTGTCGAGGACGGGAATGAGAAGACTCTGACTAAAGGCTGTTGACAGTAAAACTCCGATTTATCCAAAACACACCGCTCTTTTATACAGAGCTTTGCAAAGGCCAACTCCATTGGTTCTGAAGTGAAAGCAAGCCACACCATTGGTGCAGAGTGCTTGACGCACAGTGATAGAACTTAACTATAAACAATGTGAACAACAAGAGAGATAAATAATTATTTACATTCTTTCCCAGCTCTTTCCCAGGCTTTTTGCCTGGCTAGAAACTCTCAGTTTCTTTCTTTGACTGAATCTGAGACCCACACCCATGGAAATCCAAAATGGGTGAGGAGGGGAGCAAAAGCTTTCATTTCCCAGTTACTTTACAAGCATTTCACCTGTCTTGTGCCGGAGTCTGGTGCTGCATTCCAGTCATGCAAACACCGGGAAGGCTGGGGAGGTGTGAAAGGACCATAAAACAGAAGCACCAGGAGACACCAGGGAGATCATCATGTCACAGAGCAGAGTTTTACAGACCCAGTCTGCAACCCTGCTAGCTCACAGACAGCCAAAGCCTGCCCTTCTGCAGGAGGGAGAGGAGCAAAGCCGTGGCTCTGCGGGATACACCCACTTGCTTCCACTCTCCGTAACCCATCTTGTACGTCCATTCCCACACGGAGCAGCTGAGAGGTTTGAGTTCACAAAGGTGCTGAATTTGAAGCATTAAAACATGTCTTTTGGTGCATTGCTTCACTGCAGATATACTTTATGGGGGTTTGCTTCTACTACCTGCTACGTCCAACAGAGAAACAGATGTGGGTGCTCCATAAGATAAGAATCCAGCTCTCAGTTTCTCCTGCAGTCACTTTTCCCCTCTTCCTCTTCAATATTCTCCAAATTCTTTTCTTCTGAAGAAAGCATCTGAGAAAAATTCCAAAATTACCATCCTTTAGTCCTAGACACTTTCATTTTTTAATGGTCTATCATAACCAAGCCTGCAGTCTTTAGGTTATTTTTATTTTTTTGCTCAAAATAGATAGCTGTTGAGATTAAAAATGAGTTATTATCTGCTAATATACCAATGAATTGCATACTCAAGCTAAAGATTTTAAGTTTTACAGACTTCATCGGTACAAATTACTCCAGAGGACCAGGAGTTTCACACCTCATACGATGCATTATGGACACACTAAGATTAATGAAATGAGTGGAATCTGGGAGCACATCCCTGTCCACACCTGCATTAGCACAGCACAGAACAGAGGAAGGTGAACCTGCAGAATAAAAGTCACTGCTGAGGACCCAGCACCCACCCAGGTTTTTTTTTACTCTACATACTGGAGCTACCTCTGGTATGGAGCTGTGAACCAAAGCACCCACTGGCAGCTGGCACACACAAGGCAAAGCATGTCCATCCATCCATCCAACCTCAGCCCTACTTCATGGTGGGAGCCTCCAAGTGCCAAAGGAGAGCAGCTGGAGGCTCACTTCAAAGTAGGTCTGAGGTAATTAGCTCTAAAGACTTTTGCTTCATAAATATTAATAGTAATATTTTAATGTATCTCAGGTATTTCCACTTTAAAATGGTTGGCATAAAGCAAATTTAAAGTTTCTCAGCAGCCATGGCCACTTAATTAAATATGCTTACTTTCATCATCCCTGCTCTTTTCATGCTCTACACCCAAACCACTCCACGCCGTGCAAACATGCCTGCAAATGAACATGAGTGAAATTAAACATCTACAGGCTTTTACAACAAAAAAGCTGAGCTATTCCTTTCTGAAAATGTAGTCTCCCTCACAGGTAAACCTTGGGTAGAAAAGAAATTGTTCATTTTTATTTTTAAATCTAATTTAATTTCCATACTTATATTAAATCCATGTAGATAACTCACTGTGGAAAACATACAATTTAAACAAACTTTAGATGCTAAAAGAGAACTTAATCTGTTGTTTCTTTTAGGCATTGAGGCCCTCATGACACAGTGGAAAAGCTACAAAAGTTCAACCATCTTGTGTGTGCAGGCCCAGGTAGAGGAGATCTGCATTTTCCAGTCACCCATGTGTTTATTTGACATAATATATAATGGGAAATCATGCTGTGGAAGCCCTGAGCAATAATGTGCGAGGTACTCCTGTAAAAAGAAGCATTAACATACTTCCACAAATTGTTATGACAACTTAGTAATTGGATACAGCAACTTTTCCAGACCTATTGGCACATGAGTGTGGGAAGAGCTTGCCTGGAGGCTGCTGGTTCTGCAGGACAGTACCTGCAGGCAATTCAGGGAACACTTTCACTCGCAGAATAAAGGGGAAAAGTACTTTGGTAAAAAATCTCAAAGAACAAAATATAAACAGCTTGAGCAACATAAAGCTTTTGGAAACTGAACTGTTACATTAGATTTATTTAAACAACGTAAATAGCCAGCTTGATTTTAAAAGCACTTCAGTCTCCATTACCAAATGAAGGTTTTCTTAACCCTCAAGCTTTAACAGAACCACCTAAGTTTTTCTTAAACAATTCTTAGCAGTTCATGAGGCACATTTGAGACTAGACAACAGAAAAAAGGGTGCATGCAAGGATCTATCCTATTCCTTCCCCACCTGCAACTCTCAGCTCTTGCTTAAACTAAACAATGAATTTTAAACTCTTTCAAAACTTTTATTTCAGTTCAGTGTGACTTATATTAATTCAGTCTAAATCCATTGCTTACTAACATAAGCTAAACAGATGGATTTCTAAATTAAAATGACTGCTACAGACAAGGTTTTTGCACTGCAATATCAAAGTCAGTATGAAACTGACTTTAGAGGTTTGTAGTATACATAAAACCCTAAAGTACTCAGAAACAAGTATGCTAGTATTGTTTGTATAAATAAAAGAAAACTTGCAACACAGAGCAGCCTTTGTAGACCTTTCTTAATAAGATTTTGATAAAATACAAGTGAAAATACTCTGCTCAACATTTCCTTAACCTTTACCTATAAAGAAAAAAAAAAGCCACAGATAGGTCAATACTTTTCACATTGATCAATACTTTACACAAGACAAAATCAAGATACATATGTTGCGATTAAAGCAATTCTCTCCCAGTGGTGACTGTGTCACTCCAAAAATAATTCAATGCAGTATTCCCCTGCTAAGTATGGAGAAAAGTGTTTCCTTTAGAAGAGGAAATTCTCTTAAGGAAGTTGTTTTAAGCTAAATAAAAGTTCAGGATGAAGCCAGCAAAAGGTGTGAAGGATTTCTCTTTGATTTCCCAGCTTGTGTATTTGTGCTCAGACACAGACTACATTTTATGCACATATTAATAGGATGCTAATAAGCCTCCAACTCTGCTTTGACAGGGACCTGTAGAGACAACCTGATATGTGGCACCAGATATAATAGCTGTCTTAAGCAGGAGATTTATTTCCCTCTCACACAGGGGGTCAATCAGACGATACATTTTTTAATTACAAGTTCAGATGAAAATGTCATGCAAAGTTAGGCTCTTAATTTTGCTGTAATGTTTCTCAGTTAAAATAAACCCTCGAAATAGAACCCAAGCCTTTGAGACTAGCTAGGAGCAGCTTTTTGCTCTTCACTGATAACCTTACAAGCAAAATGAGGCCACTCAGTTGCAAGCCCTCGTAAATTACCAGGTCACAAAAACAATCCTGGTATCAAAAGCACAGAAATTGGCAGCATTTATTTCAACAGCTTGCTGCATCCCATGGAAAACCTGGAGGAAGATTCTGTCTAGCTGTAAACTGCAGATATATTTCAAAGCTAAATCTTCATAAAAAACAACACTGAAAAATTTATAAAAGTGATAAAAAAAAATAAAAAACAGTAGGTAAGACTAATCTCAACCATGTATCTATCCCAATTTCTATTTACTATTTAAAAAATCATCCGGAAATTACATCTATAATAACTGGTGACATATATCCTTAAATTTAATTTAACTACACATTCAAGCAAGGCTTCTATATATTTTCTCTCCTAAACATTTTATTTTCACCATTTCAACTTGGGGACTTTTTTCATATTTTTTGAACAACAAAAATAAAAATCTTTTTTTCATCATCAGACATTAAAAAAAGGTCTTTTGTTTGAACAGCACATGAAAAATGGAATTAAAAAAAATTTAAAAAACAACGAAAACAAACCTACAATGCACAGATTATTTTAATTTGAAATAAAAATTCTAGAAAAGTGTGATTGTTCTTAACCTGTTGACACACAAGCTTCTCCCTTTTATTAACTGTTGCTTTGATGAAACTTAAAAAATTATAACAAGAAGTTTTGTTGTTGTTTAAAAAAATATATATATCTAAAGCATTTAAAATTTTAAAAAAATATATAGACATAGATATAGATATATATTTTTCAATATATTTATATTTTCAGTCTGGTCAATTAACCAGCGTATGCTGGTCAATTTATACTAGTAAATTTATACTAGTAAAACTCTGTCAAATATGTTCTGCTATCCTGGGATGATTCTCAGCTTCAAACTTCTTTCTGTCATTTCAAAAGTCATTCTGTCATTTCAAAAGTCAATGACTTCGACCATCAACAAAAAAAATGGACAACTGTCACTTATCAGTTGCTCTTATCTGATAGAAGAAATTAACACAGCCTTTCTATTTCTTAATGTGAAATAAATGAGTTTAGTTCTGAAATTACAGAGTAGCTTATTAATTTGAAAGCTGACTAAATGGGATTCACCTCCCCTTTCCTGACATTTCTGCTTAGGGAGTTTCATCTGGTCACTTGACTTTCTTCTCAAGGGAATGAGGAGAGCAGAAGCAAAGCGCCACCCAAAGATGTCTCATGCCTGCAGATGGTTCAAGATGCCCTCCTGTCTGTGCAACTGACTTCAAAGGGCTCCCACAAAAGTGACCCAGGACATTCTGAAATGGGGCACCTGTGCTGCTCCAAGGGGCTGTTCCTCACTCACACAACTGCAGCGCACATAGAGGTGTTCTTCTGTAAATCTCACCTGCCCACGTGGTCTCTGTGCTGGACATGAGTCACCCACCCTCCTCACAAAGCTGGAAATTCGGCTTTGAGAAGACAAGCAGGAAGGTCCAGAGCTTCAGGCACCTGCTTCTCTTGCAGAGATAGGAGGTCTAGGGGACCTCCACAATGCCTTGAAAGCTGTGCCTTGATATTTGTGTATCTGGTTACAGTGATATGGAAAGAATAGCAACAAGTCAAGTAAGCACTATTACCTCTTGCAAAATCTATTTTGGTTTCCTAGCTGCAGGACTTAAAAAGTCAGGGAACATTTAAATTTTCACAAACTAGAGCTCAATCTATTGTGTTGTTATGCAGGCTGCACACAGATATAGATGCACATATACATGCTGGTGTAACATACAAAACACATATAAATGCACTGCTGTTCTCATTCTGTACTGCAGGCTGTGAGATGCGAAGGGCATGTGTGCCTGCAGCCCTTGGGCAGATGTCCTGCAGCCCATTGTTCAAACAATGTTCCAAAGCCATTTTGTCTTCCTGGTTCAAGTACTATCTTTGAAACCAGTAGAGCATTTACGACCCTCTGCCTAGGAGCTTCCCACACTTGTAAAACCAAACCATTTTTTTTTCCAATGGCTTATCAAACATTCACATCAACCTTGACAGGCTCAGTTCAAATTCTGACGTGTGGCAGCTGTTAAAGATCACATGGGAGTAACAGAATCCCCTGAAAGCCTTTGGGAGGAGTCCAAGAGACTTGAACTATTAGGAAATGCACATGATGCGTAGGTGACGGCCAACCCTGCAGTCAAAACTGAAACGATAGCATTTCTGCACAAACACAAGTTAATTTTGATCTCTGCTGTCAAAGTCCCAAATATCAGAGTGGCTGCAACAATTCCACCATTGTGGAAATTTGTGACAGCTCCTCTGGGACACTGTGTGTATCCTACCATCACTAGCCACAACCTGAGTCCCGCTCCCCTGCCTCTCACCAGTTTTGACACCTAAACAGGCCATTTTCACCCTCATCTGCCTCCCTCCATCAGCCCACTCAGGACTGGTTTGTAGCTCAGGAGAACTCTCAGCATAAACCACACATGGGGCCCAACCCAGGGTATAACAAACCATTACTTTTGGGAAGATGAGACGTGATGAGTCAGCAAGGAAACTAACCTTGGCAAATTCTCTTCACAGCACCTTAAGACAATGCAAGTTTGCTAACTGCCCTGACACAAACCCATACTTTTTTCACCAGTGGAGAAAAGATTTAGTGTCCCAGAAGAAAATCTTGAAGGGTCTAAAAGCAGTACTGGCAACTGTATTTCTCCTTCTAGGAGGAAAGGGAAAAGGGAAAAGGAAAAGAAGGAAACCCCAAGATACAACAACTTAGCTTATTTAATCTGGGCTATTTAGGTTTACAACAACAATCTTGCTTTCACCTGCATCATGGAAGTATATTTTTTTTGTGGGAATACTGGATAACTGAAAGCCACAAATGTAATTTTTTTTTCCTGTGACAGACATACGCATTTTTCAATCTAACATTCAAACAGAAAACCAAATCCTAAATCTATTTAATTGTCTTACTACATCCCATAGATGTTAACCATGTTTTACTGACCACTGTAAGGCTGCCAGCAAGAGGTGATGAATTTTGTCAATCTTGCCCTATATTGACTGTCTTTCCTTTGGTTTTTCAATTCTTCCACTGTCACAGAAAAACAGGCTTGATTTGGGGACATTACTTTTCTTACCAATCAGATCAGAGTAGGATAATGGCAAATAGAACCAAATCTTAAGAACACTTTTTCACCACCCACCTTTTCTTCCTGGGCCTAACTTTATTCCTGGTTGGGGAATGGGGGCTGTGGTCAGTTCATCACATGTTTCTTCTTCCTATTCTTTCTCCTTAGTGGGTGGGCTCCTCACACTTCCCTGCTCCAGCATGGATCCCCTCCTCAGGAGGGGAGTTCTCCATGAACTCCTCCAGGGTGAGTCCTTCTCATGGGCTGCAGTTCTTCATGAACTGCTTCAGCCTGGGGTCCTGGCACAGTCCTTCATGAACAGGCTGCTCCAGCTTGGGGCCTGCACTTAATAAAGGCGTGGATTGTGTGGATACAAAGGGGGAACTCGGATTGCTGATGGCCCTGTGCTGATGGCACTAGTGTAGTCCAGCTCTTACCTACTTCTTTCCAGTGCTTGAGCACCTGTGAGCATCCCAAACTCCTGCGCTGCTGTGAGCACACAGATAATAATACAAGATTATTCAGGCAGAATAACCATAACCCTCAACACAAAATATGAACACCTGCCCACAATGTGATCACCACAAAAGTGCTGTCATGGAAGTGCTCCTGTGCCATTAAAACATGAGTCCCATGCCACATGGGCTACTCCAAAAGCCAGGCTGTTGAAGGCTGCTGCCAGGATGAGTCAGCCCTCAAAAGTCAGCCAACAGGCTGAAGAGTTTACCCTGAGGTGAAATGTAAACACTTGTGCCAAGATATGATCCATTAATAGACGATAAGCAACACTACATTCACGTTTGTTCCCCTCGTTTCCTAACCAGCTTGCAAGCATTTTTCAGAAATTGGTCTGGTTTTCAATCTATGTTTCAGTATATTGCCTACATTATTTATGGAAAAATTCTACTTGTTCTTTAAAAATAGTCTCCAATTCAAGTACCAGCACACAGCTTGATTAACTCATTCATTGATAGAGACTATGGAGTTAAATTGAATTTTTAACTAAAGACAAAAATGAGGAAGTAAAATAAGAACGTAATAATAATACGTTGCATACATTTAGCTATGTTATACTCTGCAGAGAAACATATTTTAGCAGATATTTATAGCAGTTGTTTAGACTATTCCACACCACAGTCAAGTAATAGTAAGTTTTCAAAAGAGAAGATGTAAGATAGGGAATGAAAAGTACTGATAGAATAAACTTAAAGAAACCCAGACAAACAACAATAATGCAAACAATTTTTAAAAATCACAACAAGCCTGATATTTGAGTTGGATTTTCTTGGTTTTGTTTTGGGTTTTTTAATAACAACATCGAAAGCAAAAAAAACCCAAAAAAACCCAAAAAACCAACCAAACAAACAAACAAAAAAACCACCACAAACCAAACAAAAAAAAAAAAAAAAAAAACCCACAAAAACGACCAAATCCCTTACACCAAACAAAATCTAATAATAAATGTAATGTAATCTTCAAGCCAAACTCTTGGCTTGGCACTCAGGAGTGCTGAGTTTGGATGCTACAGTATCCAACAGATTTGTCTGAGGCTGTTCAGGGAAGCACTGCTCACACTTTTTGTTGCAAACTTTTTGTTGTATATTCCCTCAAATATTGAGACCAAAGTTTTCAGAAAGAAAAAGACTGTAATGACTTCAGACACCTAGTTAAGCAGCTTATTTCCGAAAAGTGCTGATGATCCAGGCGCTCCCATTCACTTCAAAGTGTAGGATTTGGGAATGTTTGTTGCTTTAAGATTTATGGTCTCTCTACATCCTAAATGAGAGATTCAAGAAATTACAACAAGCAGCTCATCTCCATTAAGATTAGAAAGAAGTGCTAGACTGATTTGTGGCATATGTTTCAGAGACCAACACATTCACGTCTTCACTGATCCTGCTGGAGGAATAAATAGTGTAAAAAAGAGAGGATACCCCAGGGAAAGCTTTGCTAAGGAGTAACAGGGACCTCATCACAAACTCCTCGAGCTTTCAGAAGCCAGAGTACACGAGAGAGAGGAGAGGATGAGAACTCTTTCTTCCTGCAGGCTAGTTAGCAGTAAAGGAACAGAATTCAGCCCACAGCTCTGACTATATTCCTGTCAGCGAGCCAGCTTAGCAACATTGTGTAAAAACAGAATCGCAAGCTGGGCAGTAACAGACCAAGACAGCATGTGGAAATCCATAGCTAAACAAAATAACACCATCAGGAGCAAAAACTTTAATTCAATCATGGGGGAGAATTCTTACCATGTAGCAAATCTGTTGTACAGCCAAACTGACAGACCAAACCTACAAAACCTCTACAAAATCCCCTAACATTTAGATATTGATACCCACAGGGATTTTGGGGATTGGCAAGTCACCAAAATAAATGTGTTATTTCACTCCAGGCAGGATTGTTCCTCAGTGCTTCCTGAAAATATGGCATGCTTCACCCGTGAAAGCTTTGGAAGGCTTTCTCCTTTTCTGAGGGGGAAAAAAAAAAATAAAGAATAGCAGCTGCAAAGGGTAAGAGTCCATAAAGGGATGTCACTGTTAGCAACCTGAGTGACAGACAGGAAGGAGATTTACACAACTGGCATTTGGTGAATTGCAAGCTATAAAAACTGTTGGGAGATTGGCTGGGTTGTCTGCAGTTTCTGGGGACAGCAATTTAATTCTGTCTGTTGCTAAAAAAATCTTATTTTATATATATAATTTATTTCAGAATTTCTTTCTAAACCAAAGTAAAGCAAGAAAACAGAACAAATCACTTCTTACTACGTTATTTTTTCAGTGATTGTATAACTAGAAAAGTGTTTTAATATCTCAAGTTTCTTTGCACCTATCAGCGGAAAAAATAATTACTCTTGTAGTTATATTACAAACAGTCTTCCTTTCACCTGATTAATTTTATTTTTATTGTGCTTTTTGTGCAGTTATTATTTTCCTCTTTTAAGCCTGCAAGATACTATTATAATGCCCGAATTGTTGCAACAATTAATGCATTGTAATAGTAATAATGCATCTATGCTGAAATTGCACCTTAATAAAAGCCCACAGTACCAGATGTTGTATTTTAGCTGAATTGGAGAAAATCCTTTCCTGCACCAAGAAGGCTCAGAGAAAATACAAATAAAATCTTTCTGAAAGAATTTCTTCTTATAATTAAAAGACTTTCATACACAAATAAACATTAGCTACCCCCTCTTCCCAACATCCTCCTGCTCCTCAACTTCACACCTTTTTCTTCTTTTGCTGTTCAAGATTTTGTTTACCACTAAAATCAGACATTGAGATCCAATTTATCTGCTTTTGAACTTCCCTATTCAGCAAGTCCTGGGAGTATAAATAGCATTTCTGTGCCTGTAGAGATCCTTTTACATTTTAAGCTGGTACTTGAGGGGATGGGAGAAAGAACTAATTTACACTTGGCAGATTTTTTTTTTTTTTTGGTTAAAAAAGTGTATTTTTCAATTTTTCATCTTATATACACACATGCACACACACACACACACATATATATATATATCTCCATCCTGGATAGATGGAAAATAAAAGGAAAAGCTAAAGGAACTCAAGCTGTTTAGCAAGATGAAACTATTAAAATAATAAGCCCTTTGAAATGTTATTTCACCTTCTTGTTTTATTGTGTTCATCTTTAAAACAGAACAGACAGTCTAGTCTTTGATATACACCTAAGAAGTTTACCTGCATTATATAGTTAAAGGAAATTAATAAATGGAAGAAAGAAGACGATGCTTAACTTTCCTCAGAGTGCTATGGACCTCTTAGGAGCACAAGCATACTAACACTTCTATTTGATGCAAGTACTTATTGGCTAAATTGGACATCAAGACATTTAGGGCATAGAGGAATGAAAATGAGCAAAACCACCTTGTACAGAATACAATTATTGTAAAGTACAGGCCAGTAGTATCTGATTAAAGCAGATGTCCATAGCAGTGGTGATTTTTTTGCCTGGGGAAAGGAGAAGGCAACAGCAGATTTAGACCAAGAATCCTTTTCCTTCCCCAGTTTCTGGAAGCCTCTTTTCTCTAAACTCATCTTAGAGCAGCTTTGGTGGGAGGCTTGTGCTGTTCAGCACACACCATTCATTATCCGCACGCTCTCCAGCCCCAGACTAGGAGCCCCAGCAGGCAGATCTCCAGCTGCAGGCACATCTCCAGCTGCAGGCAGCTCCGGCACAGCCCCAGCAGATGGCAACGTTGACCTGAGTGTCTCTGGGCACTGCAGTCCGTGCAAGATGTTCCTTTGGGAGCCGCTTGTTTCCACGCGCTGCCTCCGGGAGCCGGGATCAGCAGCTGCCTCAGGGCGCGGAGAAGCGGCTCCAGCTGCAGAATGTGCCAGACAGCGATGTACGGCCAGAGACACGGCGAAAGGAAGAAAGGAAAAGGAAAAGGAAAAGGAAAAGGAAAAGGAAAAGGAAAAGGAAAAGGAAAAGGAAAAGGAAAAGGAAAAGGAAAAGGAAAAGGAAAAGGAAAAGGAAAAGGAAAAGGAAAAGGAAAAGGAAAAGGAAAAGGAAAAGGAAAAGAAAGGAAAGGAAAGGAAAGGAAAGGAAAGGAAAGAAAAGAAAAGAAAAGAAAAGAAAAGAAAAGAAAAGAAAAGAAAAGAAAAGAAAAGAAAAGAAAAGAAAAGAAAAGAAAAGAAAAGAAAAGAAAAGAAAAGAAAAGAAAAGCCACAGGAGCCGCCTTTCTGAAAGAAAAGTATGTCGGAATCTGTGGTATTGATGATTCCGAGATTGTAGAAAGTCTCTGTCTTTCTGCCCCGTTGCCAAAGAAGAAGCCATAATTAATCTGTGCTGTTTTCAAGGTTGTTTATTCTTGCTTATCTCTAACATGTTCTGCTGCCCTGCCGCAGGTCTGTCCTGCAGGGCAGCGTGTGGGGCTCTGCCCCTCAGTGGGATGTTACAAACATTATATACCAGAAACTACGTGTGCTATATTTACAATAATGTGCCAATATCTATCATCTACGTTGATCAGTGTGTCCCCAGCCTAAACCAATAGAAAAATGCCAACACTACAGTGAAACATGGAGGGCATGAAGAAGGAGGAAAAGGACAAGGCACACCCAATTTCCTCCATCTTGTCCCCTCTGAACCCCTAATCTAGAAACCTAAAATTTTACTTTTGCACCTGTGCCACACTAATTGTTACTTATATCAAACACTCAGAGCTTGTAATTCATCGTGTAAGATTGAAAACTCTTTTCCATGGACAGAGATCAGAGACAGTGTCTCTTGGGGCTCTGTACAAGGGGGTTCCTGACCCCCTGCCAGGGTCCCAGGCAATCCAGGGCAGCCAGAGGGAAGCTCTGGATTCCGACAAAGTACATTCAAACTAGCAACAGAATTGCAGAATCATACAACAGTCTGGATTAGGCGCAGCCTTTAAAGGTCACTTCATCCAACCCCATTTAACAAGGGACATCTTCAACTAGCCCAGATTGCTCAGAGCCCTGTCCATCCTGACCTGGAATGTTTCCAGGAATGGGACATCTGCCACTTCTCTGGGCAACATGTTCCAGTGTTTCACCACCCTCTATGTAAAAAAATTCTTTCTATATCTAACCTAAATTGATCCTCCTTCAGTTTGCAACCATTACCCCTTGTCTATCTCAACAGGCCCTGCTAACAAGTTGGAATGCAAGGTGGTCTTTTCAGCTGTGTACAAATACTGTCTCTGGCACTACCGAAGTACAGCTGTCACAGTGCTGCATGCACTGTCCTGCAAGGGACATGATGGTTCCTGAAGTTAAAACAAATCTCTTTCAATTAGCAAGGCATGATCTGAGACCCAGCTGTGTCAAACACTAGAGCTGTAAGAAAATATTGAGGGTATCTCACAACAGTCACTACAAAAGCTTTTTTTAAAATAGTCTTCTGACATGGCCTGTATTCTCATATGCCATTATGCAAATAAACACTGTTGAATACTATTCATACTATCCCTCTAATGTCCAGGTTAACCAGGGTGGACTCTCAAGCAATGCACAAGGAAATACTCTATACCAAAAATGACCAAAGGACTCCTTTCCAGTCTTGCTCTGCAGATGCTCCCCTGCCAGCTGATGAAAACAATGGCCATAGTAAGAGCAAAACACCACACCTAAAAATCTAATTTCCTTTAGTACATGGGAGGTTTCTTGAAGACTGCCTTCAGCAGTTTAGGCTATATAATCAATTTTTGCTCTTCCCCACATAGACATAAACAAAGAATAAAAATAAATTCATTAAAGATGCCAGTAGAGTAACCACAACTGCTGTCAGATTCCATTTTCTTACCAGTTAAACCAAGGTGCTCCACCAATATGGGAATTGACTTGGCATCTGGGTACTAAAAAGGGAGTATCACCCCTTGGACAACTGAATGATTCCCTTGTTACTTGATTACAAGTCCCGAAATTCAGTGCTGTTACCAAGTAGCCTTCCATAATGGCATTACCTGATCAATTATGGTTTGTTTCATCACACTTTCTTCATCTTCCTCACCAAATGCTGATTTGACACTTATCCTCTCTGTTTGCTGTCTTTGATATTCACTTGCTGTGGTTATTCTGTACTAGGATGAATTGGTGTCAAAAGGAGAAGCTATGCAATTGTGGCAATGGATACCGTCAGGTTGTCTTTGCCAATGTGTAATTCAAACCACGTATAAAGCTAGAATATATCTGGCCATAACACACTTATCCGCACTACACATACCTAAATACCAAGAACATGCATCTGGCTCTCAGACATCTCCAGTAAACTGGAGTGGAAGTCGTGCATCCTCACTGACAAGTTAACACTCAGCAGACACAATCTTCTGCTGCACAGAACAGAAGTGGATGGCCAAAATCCTACAGGCTGCACCAGCAAACCACAAAGATGCCACAGCCTATAAATCCTGCTGAAATGCAAGATTTCTTGCTCCATGTGTGAGGGTGTCAGGGACATGCATACCTGGTAGGCAGCTGTAACTTGTGACCTGCAGGTCATGGACAACAGCTGGAGGTCTGGAGGGATGGCTTGCGGCAGAACAGCTCTGGTGGCTCACAGGTATGCAAGACTTGCTCAAAGTTTTGATACAAACAAGTAAACTATGTCAATTACTTAAGTGTCTGTCACACGTTTAAAAACACACTGGATTTTATTGGGACATCAAGGAATCAAAGCAATTCTTATGAGTATGGACCAAAAAAAAACACCACAAACAAAAAAGCCACAGAGTGGTTAAAAATGTTTTATAAATGTCTCACTAAAATTAGACTACTCTAGAAGAGCTGTACTACCTGACAGAAGAGAGTATCTTCTGTCAGGGATCAGAGCCTCTCTAAGCTTTAGGAAATGGCAAGTATTCCAAGCAAGCAGGAGCATAAAACAGATCAGCTCTTTGTCCTGCACTGATCTGTGACCTCAGATCTGGCTTGAGGAATTAAAATATTCATATACCAGATACAGAAAAATATTATTTAGCATATTCTATCTGTTGGGGGTTTTTTGTTTATTCTAACTATCAAATGCTCAGCATCCAGCCCTGACTAAGCCTGATACCTTTCTGGGCTCACCAAGTTTTTAAGTGCCATCCCAAGAAACAGACCATACAGAAAGTGTCCTCCCAGTCCAAATCCAAGAAGCCATAGCTCTTGTCACAAAGCTTCTGAGGTGGCACAAGTTCCCTTGCCAGAGGTCAAGGGGCAGCACAGAACAGTTAACATGCATACTCACTCACCCCTACCAAGTGCTATTTGAGATGAAGTCTGGCCACACCTTTCTTGTTTGCAGGAGACTGACAACTACAAAGAAAATAGTTGCCATCTCACAGAAATATCTGGCATTACTGACTTTATTCCTGCACAACATTGCTTCTCCCTCTTTCACTCTCTGTAGTACAGTTTGTTGCTATGAAATCCCAAGAATGCCAGTGACTGATTTTGAAAGTCAGTGAATATCTAATGTGTGCCTAATAAGCAGCAAAATGAGGCAGATGTGACAACAAGTAAAACGACAGTACAATAAAAATGACTGACATATGAAAGGAAGCTTGGTTTTGTTAAAGGAAAACAACAAAAACAAACCACAAAAATGTAAGCATAAAGTGCCACTACTTCCTCCTCCAGCTTACTTGCAAAATCCATCCAAAATCCATCCCACTGGTTAAACACCAAAGCACTGCTCAGGAGGCACATTGCTCGCAGTGGGAAGAATCCCACTTTCATTACAAGTAATCCTTTGCTGCCAAGGACATGAGCAAGCACGCATAATCTGGTGGCTCCCACCCTGCAGAAAGGCCTGCAGGCACTCACAGTGTGGAGAAGAGTGGAAGGCAGCCTTGGCACCCACCTGGAAGCCCTCACCCTGCAAATATGAGGCAGCGACACTGCCTGGGGCAAAGAGCCACAGCAATAGCACCTTATGGCACCGGCAATGCTTTGTAAGTGAGAGGGCTAAAGAGAGAAACTTAAAATCAGCAGCAGTAATTCCACCCATGCCAGGTCTCCTCTCATTTTCAAATCCAACCTTTGAAGGATCCTGAGCAGAGAAGTGAACAAACCTTTCCAGCTCTGCCAAAAGCAGCAGGGGGAAAGGCACTGATGAGGCTGTGGTTTCAGATGAAGGAACACCCGAGGTACCAGCGAACAGCTCGGGGATCTCCTGCCTCAGAGAGGATCAGGCTGACAGATGGTGCAGTTGCTCATGTTCTCTAGAGGCAAGATGATGCTACTGAGAATTGTGTCTGCAGTGCAAGGTTTGTAAGAGAGAAATGGAACCATGCCACAGACTGAGATATTTTGTTGTTTTGCCATGTCATTAGCTCCTGTCTACTCCTCTTCACATCAACCTTGCATTTCTATCTCCCCCTCCCCTGCTCCATCTTGCAGCAGCTCCCCAGTGACATCCCATTTGCCTTTTTCCACAGAGAGCAGCACCACTCCCCAGCAGCACCACTCTAAGACAATTCAGTGAGCTCTCTGGAGCTGAGCTCACAGCTCTGTCTACAGCCAACACACAGAACAGACAGATAGGCAAGCCAAGGTCAAGAGGCGTTGTTGTGAATCAGTGGCTGCTCACTTCGTCCCTACCAACACAAATCTGAAGTTTATTTCTGATCCAGCTTCAAATGGGCTTGAAGATAGCACAGCAAAAGTGCAGGAAGAAACAAAGAAGTAATTAAACTACCATGGGAAAGCTTTCTGATAGAAGACAGTCTAAGACTCCTTTTAAGCTCATGCAAATCTCCACTTGCACAGCTTAAAACTTAGTATGCAGTATATCTTGTACCATGAGTTTCCATCCCTCCTGCAGCACCTGTCAAGGGTAATTCAGCCTCGAGAATGGCGAGGAATAAATCAACAGGTGGTTGTTGAATGAAGAGGAAATTATATGAGTAATACAATGATGGCCTCACGCAAGAGTGAGTTACAGTGTGCAGCATCCTGGCATGTACACAAGGAAAAGCAAAAGAAGTATTCAGCAGAAGAACAATCAAAGACAAATCACAGAA